AACAAGATTCCATTTATAGTGCGCCTTTCACGTCGGAAGGACGTCCCAAGGTGCTGTAAAGTCAATTCACTGTACAGTACATTCTGTGAAGCGCTTTGAGACGTCTAAAAGACATGAAAAGCACTATATCAAATGCAAGGATTATTATTATTATTAAACCAAGCTCTTAAAGATCCCATGGTACTATTCAAAAAGAGAAGGGAATTTCTTCCAGTGTCCCCCAGATAAAATTGGTCACTCACTTCATGGCCCATTTGTGGGACATTACAATATGCTGGGTTCAACAACAACAACAACAAGATTCCATTTATAGAGCGCCTTTCACGTCGGGAGGACGTCCCAAGGCAGTTGGGTCAGGACCTGAGCAGGGGGGAAATGGTCAGGGTGAGGGGAGGGAAGGGAGGGAGCGAGGAGGGGTTAGAGAGTCGAGAGGGGAGCTGAAGGCACGGTCAAAGAGAAAGGTCTTGTGACCGGCCTTGAAGGAGGAAAGGGAGGAAGCGGCGAAGGCACTGGGGAATAGAGTCACCCACAAATTAGAGTCACACACTTTGCAGTAAATGCTGTGAGGCACTTGGAGATGCCAAGTGGCTGTAAGGAGATTATAAGGTGCTGTAAGGTGCTTGGAGCTAAGATGGAATGTGGAAAGTCAATTCCAGGATTTGGAGGTTTATGGGGACAGAAAAGCTTGATTTCCAATGGTGAAAATGTCCCTGGTGTCCCTCAGTGTGTTTGTGGAGGATTGTGATGTTTCAAGACCCTCCTCTTCGACTGCGCATGAGACCAACCTCCTACCCCTACCTTCCCTGCCCTACACACTCTCTCGTCCCAACCCCCTACTCAGGTCCAAATCTCTGACTGTCCAGCCCTTTGGGATGTCCTCCCATCGTGAAAGGCGGTATACAAATATAATTTGTTGTTGTTGAAGAACGTTCTGATGGGATCTATGTGGACCCTACAGACAGGTGTGACAAGAGGCATCGCAGCCCAGCCCATGTCCTCACTAGATTCACTTTCCAGTAATGGTCTCACCGGATCAAAATAAGACATTTACCTGGGTCTTACACTTAAGACTAGTAGACATACACTATTTTACACTTACACCAATAGATTTACACTATTTTACACTTTACAATTTTAGACATACACTAGACGTGCACTATTTTACACTTAGACTAACTGATTTACACTAGTTGACACTTACAATAGTAGACTTACACTATTTTTACTTACACTAATAAATGTACATTAATGGACTTGCACTAATGACTTATACTATTTTCTTTGCATTAGACGTGCAGAATTTGGCACAATTCTTAAATTTTGAGATCTTGAAAGAACCTACAGCAAGCCAGCTTCAAAATTAGACAACTTATATTCGAACAGCACCCTTCATTTATAGCCGTTATGGCCTTGATTTATAGAAAGGAAACCTAAAATGCTGTATGCAGCTAACTGTCATTTACCAGTAGTTGAGGCACAGACTTGCACTAGGGTCACTGGGGGCTATTCTGCTCTGTGACTTTGTTGCTAAGATAGTGCGGTTTGTCCTCTAGACATGAAAGACGCTATACAAATATAATTTAGTTGTTGTTTTCAATCTGCCCATTTAATGAATTTCCCCAAAGTGTATTCAATCTTAAAAGTGTAAATAGCCTGATATTAAATATGTGGAATATTTATTAAGCGCACGCCGAAAGATTCACCAAACTTACTGAATAACAATACTAATGATCTTTGCATTTGATATAGTGCCTTATCACATCTTTGAGACATCTCAAAGTGCTTCACAGAATATACTTTAAAGTGAATTGACTGTATATTTTGTAGGCAAAATGCGGCAGCCAATTGCACACAGCAGTGTCCCATAAACAGTCATGGATTGAGTGACCAAATTATTATTAGTTTTTTTTGTAAGGAATTATTATTCCCAGAAAAATGAGCCGCCAATCAACTAACAACCAAGTTCCTACTTACTGCTAGGTAAACAGAAGCGTGTGGAGTAAGGAAACTTGTCCAATGTTTCGTCCTGCCTGGAAATGAACCCAGGTCTCTCGTTTGCAAGGCGAGTGCTCTAACCACTGAGCTACAGGACTCCATGTTTTACATTACTGTACATAAGTAATTAATTTCCAGGACCTCACTCTCCTTTTCAAATCACTTCACCCCTGGCACCTGCCTACCTCTCTTATCTGCTTGCCTTCCACCCCTTTATCCGCCACCTTCGCTCAGCCGACGCAGGTTTCTGCATATCCCTTGTCTGCTCTGCTCCACAATTCAGGTCAAGCTTTCAGCCACTACGCCATGAATCTTTGAAACTGACCCAAAGTGCGAACAAAGAGGTAGGTCTTGGCGAGCTCTTGAATTGAGGATGATATAACTAAGTGGGAGCATACAGATAGTGAAGAGGAAGACTGAAGATAGATCCCTGAGGAATGCCACATATGGCTATGTGGGGATACAATACAATACAAAATTACATTTGTATAACACCTTTCATGTCAAGAGAATGTCCCAAGGCACTGAACAGTCAGAGAGTCAGAGATTAGGAACCAGGGGGTTGGGATCAGGGAGGGTGGAGGGCAGAGAGTGTAGAAGGGTGGCACTGTCAAAGAGGATGGTCTTGAGGTATGCCTTGAAGGAGGCAAGGGAGGAAGTGAGGCTAAGGGAGTGTGGGATGGAGTTCCAGAGGGTGGGGGCAGAGAGGCTGAAGGCCGGACCGCTGATGATGGGACATGCCGGGTGGGGGACAACCTTGATCAGGGATCTTTCCATGCTGTGGGCAGCATGGAAACCCGATTGGAGGGATTCATAAAGGGAGTGGCAGAAGAGGAAGGCGTGAGGCTGGGAAGTAACAACTCTCAAGAATCTTGGAAAGCAAAGGGAGGTTGGAGATGGGGCAGTAGTTAATGAGCAGGGATGGGTCCAGGGAACATTTTTTTTAGAATAGGGGTGATGGCAGCTGTTTTTAGGGGGATGGAAACAGTTGACAGAGAGAGATTGACAAAGCCTGAGACTAAAGGGACAAGGAGGTGGAGCTGGGAGGGAAGAAGGGTAGGAATGGGGTACAGGGAGCAGGTGGTGGGCTTCATGCGGGTTATAGTGGTGGTGAGAGAGGGGGAGACAGGTTTGAAAGTATGGAGGGAGGGATGGATAGAGGCTGAAGTGTGGGAGAGATGGGGAGGGGGTGGCGGTTGGGAGGGTGGAGGCGGCTGAACAGATCCCCTCGATTTTGGTCTTGAGGAAATCCAGCATCTCCTTGCAGTTGGAGTTGGAGGAGAAGATGGGCGAGGCATGAGAGGGTGGATGGAGGAGCCGGTTGGTAGTGGAGAAGAGAAGCCTGGGGTTGTCCTTGGCCTCCAAGATTATCTTGGAATAGAAACACGATTTAGCGGAGGCAAGAGAGAAGTGGTAAGTTTTTATGTGGTCCAACAAGATCTGATGGTGGACCGATAAATCAGATTTGAGCCAGGCATGTTCATCAGATAGGATTCTATTTATAAAGCCAAGGAATCCATATGCTTTTTTAATGGCTTTTTGTCAACTTGTCCTGCCACCTTCAAAAATTTGTGTAGATGAACACCCAGGGCCCTCTGCTCCTGCACCACTTTTTAAAATTGTATAGTTTAGCTTATATTGCCTCTCCTCATTCCTCCTCCCAAAATGCATCACTTCTCTGCATAATTTCGCTGCCATCTGCCCATTTCACCAGCCTGTCTATGTCTTCCTACAGTCTGCTACTATCCTCCTACATTTCCAAGTTTTGTGTCACCTGACTTTAAAATTTTGCTCCCTATATCCAAATCCAGGTCATTAATATATCAAAAAGAAATGGTGCTAATTTATACCCTATGGTATAAAATCACTGCTTAGCTCCCTTCAGTCTGAAAAACAACCATTCACCACTACCACTTGAAAGTGCATATACACATCAACTCACTAGCTTCATCAACCCTCTTCGTTACTTTATTGAAGATCTCAATCAAGTTAAACAAAATTTGCCTTTAACAAATCCATTTTGATTTTCATTAATTAACTTATGTTTGTCCGATTGAAAATTAAACTTGTTCCGGATTATGTTCTCTAGAAGTTTCCCCACCACTGACGGTAGGCTGACTGGCTGGTACTTACCAGGTTTATCCCTCTCCCCTTTTTGACCAGCGGTGTAATATTAGCAACCCTCCAGTCCTCAGCCACCACTCCCATATCGAAGGAGAATCGAAAGATTGCACCAAAGCCTCCGCTATTTCCACTCTAACTTCCCTAATCATTCTAGAATGCATCCCATCTGGATCAGGTGATGTTTCTACTTTGAGTCCTGCTAACCTTTTAAGTAGCTCCTCTCTTATCTATTTTTATCCTGTCCAATTTCGCTACCCCCTGCTCCACAAGCTGAGCGGATTCCATGAACAGAAACAGGGGCAGATTTTACTGATGGAAGGTTCCAGAAGAAGGTCTAGAAGGTTAGATGAGGACTAACTTTGAGAGAGATTAATAGTGTTAAAGGAAGCCTTAGAAGCTCAGAGTGATCTACACAGCTAATAATCCTGGCTATAACATTTTCAATCCCTCATTAAATCACAGAAAATGTTATTGAAATTAGCCCCAAATGTAAATAATAGTAATAATAATCCTTGCATTTGATATAGCGCCTTATCACATCTTCGAGATGTCTCAAAGCACTTCATGGGATATACTGCAAAGTGAATTGTATATTTTGTGGGCGAAACCTATGGTGTTAAAACAAGGCCCTCTACTAATTCTTTGTTTAAATCCAGTCAAAAAATTGATTCATTACCCTGCAGCTCAATCACCTGTTTATGTAATTAAAACTAGGCTGCAGTAAATCTCACTCATGTTTCCCGTCCTGTGCTGAAGGTGCTGGTTCATGTGTTGACAGCAATTTGACTTAAGACTACAGCAAAAGTATTTAAAAAAGCTCCAGGATTGGTGATTCTCTTCATTGCTTCAGGATCTCTTGAAAAGAGCAAGAAAACTGGGAAACACTGGGCACAGTTTATTATTTAAGAGCAGATAACATTGGTAAGAATAATTATTACTTTTAAGTTGCTTTTAAGTTACGAAGCAAACTGCTTCCTATGTTCATAGTTTGCAGTCTGTTTCCTGGGTGAAAAGGGCTGCGTTTACTCCTCGGCGAGGGGAGGGGGGGAGAGACGAAGCTGGAAGTTCTCGTTCTGAAAGATGCTGTTGGTGATGGAGTGGGTGGAGGTGGCGTGGAGCAGCCCCTGCTTGTTGCCGCCTCGGTTCCGGGAGAGTTCGGTCAGAATTGCAAGCTGCAAAACACAGCCACAAACTACAAGTGTTAATATGCAAACATAAGAAGATAAGAATTTACTAGCAAAAGAAGACCAAGGTCCATCTAGTTCGCCTTCCACCATCCTGGCAGTCAAGACATGTCGTGACCCAAACTCTATAGTGTATCCTGAGATTATGGGATGTTAAAGATATTATTTTCTAGCAGAAATCTATCTAATTTGTTTTGAAACAAACAATATTTTCTGCTTCCACTGTCTCCCTAGGGAGCCTGTTCCATAAGTTTGCTGCTCGCTCACTGAAGTAGTGCTTCCGCAGATTTGTTTTGAATTTACCCCCCTTCTATTGCAGGCTGTGTCCTCTGGTTCTACTGTTCAGTACAAGATAAAACAGCTTATCATGACAAATATAGTTTGTTGTTGTATCACGGTCTACATTATCTATTCGTTCAGAAACTTAAATAATGACAGCCAGAGAGAGAAATAACAACACAAGTTGGATTCATATAGCGCCCCTCCTGCAGGGAAACATCTCAGAGAGCTTGACAGTTGTGGAGCCCGAGGCAGGGAGATAACAGTAAGCACCATCAAAGAGGAAAGTCTTCAGGCACAACCTGTAGATAGGGAAGTAGTGGGCAAGGCAGAGGGATTGAGCGAAGAATGTTCCAGAATTTTGTAGTATCGTGACCGAAAGTGTGGCCGCCGATGGTGGAAAGTAGAACCCCAAGGGATAAGCAGGAGAACGGAGGCAGTCGAGCGGAACAACGGGTAGTGGATTGGGGAGAAAGCAGGTCGGAAAGGTAGGGAGGTACCAGGGCATGAAGATGAGTGTGGGGATCTTGAAGTTGTGAAATAGACAGTTGTCAAATCAGCAGATTTGTGTAAGGAACAAAATCCCATCCGATTGTAATTCATTATGCGTCAGCTTGGCTCAGTTGTTATATATGCTCAGTTGTTGTCAAGTGCTCTGGAACGCTAATCTGTTGAGGGACATTATATCAAAGCAAGTTACTATTGTTGTTAGTACTCTTGGCTCTGTTGAACGGTTTCACACCTGCACTCCTCGACCCTACTATTGCCCACCAAACTATAAGCCACGATGTTCCACGCCTTGGAACTCCCTCTCTCCACCCTTCCATCTCACAAACTCTCTGTCTTCAAAATCTGTCAAAAAATCCACATAATCAACCGTACCACAGTCACCTCCTTTCCCTCAACTTCCCTGCTGGCAACCACCTCTGTGAAAAGTTACAAAACAGTACTCTGCGATATACACAGTAAACTCCTGATAAGTTGACCCCATCTTAACTACCACTAATAATAATAATCCTTGCATTTGATATAGCGCTTTAATAATAATAATCCTTGCATTTGATATAGCGCTTTTCACGTCAGGAGGACGTCCCAAAATTACAACAAAATTACATTTGAGTTCAAGCCCCACGTCGGGACATGGTGCTCATGTCTGACTGTTTAGGTGGATGTTAAGGCTCCTGTGTTAACATCGGGAAAAAAAGAAGAAAGTGTCCTTGTTAATTCTCTTCATGACTGTTTGCAGGACATTGCTGTGGGCAAATAGACTTTTACGTTCACCAAATATACACCATCATAGAATCATAGAACATTACAGTGCAGAAGGAAGCCATTTGACCCATCTTCAGCTTTTTGGAAGAGCTACCCAATCAGTCCCCCACTCCTTCCCCACATTTGCAGATTTTTCTTCTTCAACTACCTATCCAATTCACTTTTGAAACTTGTTATTGAACTCTTTCTACCACCCTTTCAGGCAGTGCATTCCAGACTGTAACAACACTGTGTAAAATAATTTCTCCTAAACTCTCCTCTGGTTCTTTTGCCAATTATCTTAAATCTATGTTCCCTAGATCCCTATGTCCCCAACCCACCTGCCAGTTTGAAGTATGAGTTCAAGTACCGGTGAATTATATATAGTTATATATAACTATGAAATAAGTTGCTTGAACCCACAACCTTCTGACTGAGAAGCAAGGATGCTACCACTGAGGCAGACTGACATATAGCCTCGGCACATCGGATTCTAGTCTGGGGAGAGTGAGGGGAATATTTGTCTTGAAAGGCAGATGACCTTTCAGCAGCAGGCGCTGGCCAGTGCGAGTGGTGCTACATCTAAAGTTGAGAGAGTGCTCAGAACAGCCATAGTGTTATAGAGTGGAGAAGATCATTTATAATCATTGAGATAAACATGTTTTATATCGGGGTTTGCAAACAGTGTAGCAGGCCTGCCAAAACTGGCTTTTGCATTCTCGCAGATGGCTCAGCTCCAAGGAGATCCCGCTTGCCCCTCCTCCCCCCCACACCAGGAGGTGCTCATTTGGTATCTTAAATTCTTAAATTAAAACACAACGTTTTAGAATGTATTATTCTTAAAAGATTCTTAAATTCAGTCCTAACTTGTAAACCGATTTTCTGACATTGTTTAAAAGAATGCAGTGGACACGCGTGTCCCTCCGATGTGAAAGGAGCTACATAAATATAATCTGTTGTTGTCTACAAATATACAGTCACTCAACTTCACAGTATATCCTGTGGGATGTCCTCCTAACGTGAAAGGTGCTATACCAAATGCAAGGATTATTATTATTATTATTTGGTAAAAGTAGGAGTAAAAGGATGTGCTAATCTCCACTGAGGCTTAAAGCTCAACTCCCTGTCGGGAAAAATCTAGTGCAGAACATCTGAGAACATCACAGCTGCCAACCTTTCAATTTCACAAATGATGGAAAAGTCAAACCAAATCTGCCACTATTGACTGCCCAACTTTTCTTTCCAACCCATCACTGCCTTGCATTTTATGGTTATTGGTGATCTTGATTTCCTGTTTTTGTTAAAACCTGTTGTGCAACTTTTGTTTTGACTCACGCCCTCAAACATATGGTGTCAGAAGTGGGATCACTTTGGCTACAAACTAGCAACTTTTGACCTTTGCAAACTGTGATTTGCACATACAGAGAAAAATTGGATCAACTGTTGATCCAGCTCGTGACCTCGCAGGAACAACAGCAACAACAGTAACAATTCCAACAACAAATCTTATAAATCCTTGCTCAGCATCCGTGAGGACCCCAGTTGGGCTGCTAATGAAAACCGGACCGAGTGAAGTTCCGAAGCCTTCCTCACAACCTTTGAAAGGGTAGCAATCGTTCAGGACTGACCCAAAGACCATGGGCCACGGGTGTCACATCATGCTGGATGGGAGAGGCACAAGCAACATACAGCGTCCTCTCCCACCAGCAAGCTCTCCAGTACCGGTACATAAAGGCTGCAATACTGGACTACCTGGGGCTTATGATGGAGACCTATCAATAGAGGTTCCACACAGAAATGTTTAAGCCCAATATACGACACCAAATGCTCGCCCAGCGTCTCACTGCACCCACTGGCTAAAGCTGGACCAAGGTTGCAAAGAGGACATTATAGACCAAATCATGCAAAGAATAATTAATTGTGGTGTGGCCCCCAGAGACCGAGCAATGGATATGCGTGTGAGGGGGAGGGCATCAAGGATGGTGAAGAGGGAGTTGTGGAGGAGAGTGACCGAGAAGGATAGGTCGTTGCGGGAGGAAGTTCAGATGACTCCAGGTCAGAATAGAGGGAGTGGGGGGAGATTATTTTCCAGTGGTGGTAGGAGATGCAGGTGGATTGGATGGCAGGGAAGGGGGTGGAGGATTTAAGAGAGATGAAGTAATGGTCCAAGATGGCTTTGTCGGTGATAGTGATGTCCGAGACCGCTGAGAAAGGGAACTCAGGAACGTTCTTTATAAATGACAAGAAAGCAAAGCAGTGAAGAAACAGCTTCCCTTAGAGCAGGCATGTTTACAGCACAAAGTCATTGCTGAATAAAATTCAGCAGAGACAGATTAGCCTCATCAGCAACAACTGCAGGTGCAAAACTAAACAACATCAGCAGGTTCCAATTCATCAATTGTGTTGTTGGTGTTTTTTGTATAATGTACTGTTTTCATCACCTCAGACCCTACCACCCCTCTGCGCTGTCTCCAAAATGCCTCCATCCCTGTTCCCTATTTTCCATTGCGCCCGCTCACTTCTCCTTTGTTGTTGTTCTGGGTTCCACTCCTGATCTGTAGGCCATTTGGTGGGTCTCAGTCAGAGCAGCACTCGGCTGCTGCAATTGTCCTTAGCACCCTTAGGCCAAGGAGGGGCAATTAGCTGGAATGCCTTTGTATTTGAATGTCAGGCAAGTAGAGGAATTGGTTATTCTGTGAGATCCCCTCCGAAAATTCACTGTGAAACCCAGAGCCTAGTACCACTCCCTTGGGTGTTTTACCAAATGCAATTTTCACATTATGTATACACTTTGTGGTCTACTGAGAGAGAACAACCATGTCAAGTTAATACTTATGTGTACGTCAGGCATGTGCTTAGATGCAAAGTACTGGCCACAACAGAGAAACTAATTATTTTTCTCTCCTAAAGACACTGACTTGTGTCGCATGAGATTCCATGGACATCAGGTGTCCTTCAGGACCTCACAATTTATTCACTAATTGTGTGCAGACAACAAATGTGGGAGACAAGGTGACAGTGAAGAGTATCCCACAATCTGCCCTTCCCAACATTCCACACACACTTTCCAGCAATCCAGGCATTGGATATTGTATGTGTGTGACAATTTGGCAAGTGGTTCAAGCCTTTGGTCCTCTAAAGGTCCACCCACCATGCTGAAGGTAGATAGCCATCAGATAGCTGATGACAAAACTGAGGCTTACAGCGATAGTTATTGGAAGGCATTAACTGGAGTCCAAGTTTGTAAACATGTGCGTGTTCGTACATCCAGCTCTTGAAATCCACCTTGATTGATTTACAGAGAGGTAAGCAGCTGCTGCTCAAGCCCTGCACCTCCAACTGGAGGAACCATCTCTCAATGGGAAGGGATGTATGCCTGAGCTGTGGGCAGGAATATGATGAATATATTACACATTACCTCAAATCTCACTTTGGGATCCCCAAGCCTTGGCTGTCAT